ACTGTGGTTCACAACCCGACCATGGCTCAAACGTGTACAGACGTAGGCACTCTCGGGGTAAGAATTTCTTGGAAGATTACTTTATCCCAAATTCATTGTACTCTAGTTTTGATTTTCGAGGGCACTATAGAATGCAACCCCATTTGTTCAATAAAATCATGTATGATGTTTGCAATTACAACGCATACTTCATTTATAAATACAATGCTACTGGGGGTTTGGGTCTTTTTTCAGAGCAAAAACTTACAGCTTCTTTAAGGATGCTGGCGTTTGGCACATCTGCACACTAGGTGGATGAGATTGCTAGGATGAGGAAATCCACTATCCTAGAGAGCTTGGTTAGATTTTGTGATGCAATCGAAACTCTCTACACGAGGGATTACCTCCGTAAATCTATGCTTAGGCACCTCCAAAAGTTTTTATAAAAAGCCGAGACTCGAGGTTTCCCATGCATGATTGGAAGCATCGACTGCATGCATTGGCAGTGGAAGAATTTCCCAACTGCCTGGCAAGGAGATTATGGGAATAGGAAGGGCCAAAAAAGTATCATTCTGGAAGTTGTTGCATCATTCGATACTTGGGTTTGGCATTCCTTTTTCGGAGTTGAGGGATTTCAAAATTACCTTAACGTGCTCAGTCAATCCCTAGTGTTCAACGATGTGTTGAGAGGTCAAGCCCTTTAGATCACGTATGAAATCAACAATACCGTATACTAGGATGGGTACTACCTAGCAGACAGAATTTATCGAGGTGGACGACATTCGTCAAAACAATTTTGCATCCCCAATTGGAAAAGGAAAAATACTTTGCTGCCTATCAAGAGGGTTATAGGAAAGATGTGAAAAAGTTTGTTTGTATTCTCCAAGCTCGGTGGGCAATCATTAGGGGGCTGCTCGTATGTTTGATGAAGAGGTGTTTCAAAGCATTATGATGACGTACATCATTCTCCATAACATGATTGTGGATGATGAGTATGATTATGATGAACCAGAGATGTTCGAACTTCATCCCATGAACACAGCATTAACAAGAATTTATGAACAGCTTGTGGGACCAAATGGACAACCACTGGAGCATGAACCATTGATTAGGGATGGTTGTTACAACAACCATATGATTGACTGTTATACAAAAATGCAATTTTCTTATGTTCACGAAAAATGTCAAGTTGACTTGATGGGCGTTGAAAGACAATCATGATCAATGAAGTCAAGTTTAATGCTTAGTTTTGAATTATGCTTTAGTTTGTGTTTCGTTTTGAATTATGCTTTGTTTGTATTTTGTTTTGAATCATGCTTTGTTTGTATTTTGTAATGAATTATGCTTTCTTTGTGTTTTGTAATGAATTATGTTTTTTTTAATTTATTTATGTGTGCAATGTTTTAAATAAATAGCTATATTATTGAATGCTTTATTTATTCAATAAAAGACGAGCAATACAACTAATTAATAAATGGCAACTCTGTTAATACAACCTAATGGTTTTTATCATTTAACTAATCCATGTTGCCAGGTCCATCATCACGGAAAATCCTTCTTCTCATAACATCCCCTCGTTCTAGCATCCAAAATGACTTTGTGTGCATACTCCATTTCTCTTGCAAATGCTTCATTTCTTACCTTGTCAGCTGCATCTCTTTCATGTCTCTCTCAATTCGCAGTGTGTAAAATTTTTGCACAATCATTGGTCGAATTGCTCCCTCTCTTAGCCTTTGCAACCTATCTCCCAATAGGCCTCAGCTCCCTTTGGGTTGGTGAGTCTTGATTCATCGGGGACTCTAACGGAGAATCCGATGTCAATGAATTGTGGAATGACGTCTCATTCAACACAACGGTCGGACTTGTGGGAATAATTTTGAATCTCTAACAATTTTTCACAACCTCCCAACATTGGTGACCGTTGAAAGATTTTTGCCTTCGCAAATGGCACCGAACCACATTTGTGCTTGCATAATCTATAATTAAAAATAAAAATAAAAATTGAAAATGCAAATAATTTACCTCATTGCCAAGATTTTCACCACATCGAATGTTGTCCATCGCTTTTGTCAACACATCTCTCTATTTCCCTAACTATTTATTCAAAAAATTTCACTTACTAGCCAAGGTCATTTTCGTATGAGCCAAACCTGATCTTTCAAAAAATTCAACATGAATTTTTTTCCACATATGAGAGAACTTCATCTCATTGCCCATGGTTGGGCAATGATCAAATTGGACCCAACACTCACACAACAAAATATCTTCCATGGTTGTCCATGACCTTCCGGCTTTGATGGAAGAGGTCATTTGTATTTTTACACAAATGAAATTAGTAGAAAATTTGGTGTAGAAAGTGAATAATATTGGAAGGAGAAGAATTTGTGTGAAGATTTGGTATTGAAAATGAAGAATATTAGTAGGTATTTATAGAAAAAAAAATCAGAATTTTTTGGTTTTTTTTTCAATTGTTTTTCCACAAAAAATTGGCAACCGTTGGATTGGAGCAGAAAGACTAGATCGGATCCGCTAGGAAGTGCCATGTGGCTTCTATCGGTTGGGGAAAAGCAGGGCTGGCATCAGCGCACAATTTTGAATTTATTTTACCGATGGTAAAATAAATTCAAAATCTTGCGTTCATAGCAGCATGGCGTCACCAGTCCTCAGGTAATAGCGCGAGCTAGATTTGCCTTTGGGCTTGCCCGAGTTGGTGGCCCCCACCTGTTGCTTGGGTTGCATTTGCGTGCTGGAAGCGCTTCAAGGGCCTAGGCCCTGTCCTGCCCGGACCAGCCTATTGTGGTGGAAGTGCTCTAATTGCTTCACTGCCTAAGAAATTTGGAAGCCATGTTTTCCAAGGGAGAATGAATATAAGGATGAAGGGCATGAAAGAGACCATCTGTATTCGTTTTACGTACAAAAGCAACTTGAATTGCTTTCAAGAGGATTTGACCTTGCACCTCTAAGTCTAGGCAGAAAGAGGATTCGAATTTAAGTGCAACTATGGTCAGAACTTCATTGGAAAATAAAGTATTTAATATATTAAAGATAATGACGTATTTAATACCGTCTCAATTCATCCTAACCGCCCTACATTATGAAAACATTTGTCAACTGATTACATTACTTTGTGACCTTTTTATAGTAAAAATTATAACCAACTTTAAAAGAGTTCACAATATTTTTCCTCGTTTAGTTCAACTGATAGTATATATATTCTCTCTCATCCTTTGCAAGAGAGAACAGCAATAAGCTTCATTGATTCGGTGAAACTATACTTTTCCAACTGCTTCCTCTATATATCATATGACAAACGGAAAATTAGAACTCACAACTGTTAAGAAAAGAAGAAAAGCACGTCTGTTTTCCTGGCCAACAACATAAATGATTCAAAATCAAATAAATAAGGCTGCAAGGCAAGCTATCTAAAAGCCTTAAGGACATCGAGTCAGTGGCACAAAGTTGCATCTGCAGTGTCTGGTATGGATCCGTTACAGAAGCAGAAACATAACGAACAATAGCGTTCACCCTTCATCTTCTTCCTCAACCCATCCTCCAGTCGAGTTCAGATACGTCACAATGTTAGTAATAGTACATTCTTAGGAGTTGAAGGTAGTATGGTCATCCGTCTATCACAAAGTTTATAGCACACTCAAAAACTTTAAATGCTAGAACTTGTCTTTATAAGACTATGAATTAGATTACTGAATCAAAACAAAACAAAGCCACAAATAGGAGAATACGAAACTCACTGATGGTTTACAACAGTGGAAGAATGAAAACAATTGAAATTTAAGCACAATCATTTTGCGGAACTAATAAGAAATTAATTATGTAAAAAAAGGAAGACGAAGCAAGGAGTAGATGTCAACGTAAAACAAAATTTTACAAAATAAATGTTATTTTCTTAGCAACTATGGTAAATAAAATTCTGCAAAAATTTGAAAGCTGTACAAAAGTAATTACATATGCAGGAGACACCCAAGCACACGACTGATGCATTTCAATAGAAGTGAACAATCCACAACACCCAAATTTCAACATATTTCATCAGAGATATGTAGAAAGCAACATAGTCTAGAGGATATGCAGTTTCTTTAGAGATATCTGAAAACTGCATCAAAGGGGAACAAATTCAAACACAAAAAAGTAGCATACAAATCTGAGTTAATTCTACTTTAACATCCAGAGAAAAGTAACAAAAAAATAACTTAGACAGAAGCCAATTAAGAAGTACGTATTGAAACTGAAAATACGGGAACAGAATAGAGCTAAAGCATATTTCCAAACCCATTTGCTTAGGTATTCAAATATACATAACTGCTTTATGTGCTTAAGGAATAGAAGAAAACCATACAGATCTGAACAAAGAAACAACTATTAGGCATATCACCTTGATTAATGAACGAAGATCATAGAAAGTTTAGAAACCAACGATGACAGCTAAAGAACCAATTTGTGATATCTTACTTAGAGTTAGGGTATTCATAACTTTCATTCAAGTCTTTAAGCTCTCCGTTTAAGTTCGTACTTTCTGCTATCTTGCCCTCCTTACAGAAACTTTGGATTACAGTGTTGTATGTTATCAAATCACGAACAAAACCCTTCAGGTGCATTCTTGGACCAATTTATATGCCACGTCGGTTCATCCATGTAAACACAGCCCTGTCGGTCATCATTGCGTTGTAACTGACTGGTTTCTTTATGACCTTTATGTATTGTATGTGTAATCATTTGGATGATATCCCTTCTCAATCATCTCAAACCACAGCTTCGTAGCTTCCCCAATCCAACTCATTGTACAACCTATATCCTTAAGATCATTAAAAACCCGTAAACCCTCGAACCTCTTTCCTTTCTTACACAGCCAATTGATTATACCTCATGATACGTATAATTATCTGGGACATGGTTCTTTGCAATCAGGGTGTGGAGGAGTTTGGATACTCTAGTATGCTGCTTCTCTTTACAAAACCCAGAAATCAATTTATTGAATGCAGCACTTTCAGGGACCAAACCACCTATCAAAACCTGTCGAAGAAGTTCGTAACCCTCCAAAACCCTGTTATCAGCACAAAAAGCTTGAATGAGATATCCAACAGTCTCAACTCAACATCAGCTACAACAGCACATTCTATCATTTCTTGATACAATTTCCAAATAATATCAGTCCTCCCAACCTTAAGGCAACCCGACAAAGCCGCCTTCCAAGTCATTATAGCCAGGCACACTCCAGCCTCTTTCAACCTATAAATCACATGAATGGCATCCTGAATATATCTACCCTCACAAAGACACCGAATATAACTTTCTAAATGAGGCAAGCTCAGGGCTAAAACTGGTATGTTCAAGAAAAGATTTTGCAGGATTGCAGACCTTAGTCTCCACAAAGGCACTGACAAGCGCTTTACACGAAATGGGGTCAGGTGAAAACCCATTATGAGAGCTCAACCAGAAGAAACATCTCAGCGATAAAAACACATTCTTTTAGAGCTTCAGAAGCTCGGTGAAAAACTGAGGATTAGAGAAATTGAAGAAGGGTACTCAGAGGGCTGAGTCTGCTCCCATTGGTTTTGTTCAAATGATCTCACAAATGCATTGGGCAACTTCAGTAAAGTCACATTCTTTGGTTTCTGTTGTATGGTATCAATTTTTTTTTTCAGAGGTATTCAAATATACATAGCTGCCTTTTGTGCCCAGGGAAAAGAAGAAAACTATACAGATCTGAACAAAGAAACATCTATTAGGCTTACCAACTTGATTAATAAATGAAGATCATGGAAAGTTTAGAAATCAACGACGACAGCTAAAGAATTTAGAAAGATCAAGAAAGCGTTTGACAGTGGCTGGTGAGAGGGGAGTGGAGTCCAGTTTGATAACCGCATCAGGAATAAACTGCATTCGGCTTACCATCTATTCAACTTAAATTGGTTAAAAAAGAATGAAAAAAAGCCTTTAATCCCTATAAGCATAGTTAATATTAACTCAACAAACATGCAACATTGCATATCAAAGACAGACCATACCATCATGTACTAAATAATCCAACACCAAAAGCCTCACTTTCAAACAGATATTTGCAATCAGAATCCAATGCATGCACACATAATTGCATACATATATATATATATATATTAATAAAACTATGCATTTAAATAAAAAATTTCAGTGCATACCGCATGCTTCCACAGTATTTAAGCGTATCAGGATCACTGTGGAGCCTCTTCAGAAAATGGCTACACCCTGTGCCGTTGTTTCTCTCTCTGATCCGAAAACAAAGCCCTAATGTCCATACCCTCCCTCGCCAGAGCTATGAAGAAAGACACGGATGGGGCATTGGCCTCGACGCTCTTGCCATCTGGGTAGAAATATGTAGCCTGTGTATAGCCACCGGCCACAAATGAATAGGATCCAATGTACTTGACGATTCCCATACCCTTGACGAGTGAGTACCCACTGATCTTAAACTCGTGGCACCCATTTGTGATATCTTACTCAGACTTAGGGTTTTGTATAACTAATCATTCGAAAACGAAAAAAAAAAAAAAAAAAAAAAAAAAAAAAAAAAAAAAAGGGAACAAAATTTCATAACATAATAAACATAAATAAATAATCAAAGCACACTGCAAAATGATTACTAGCTGTAAAATAATTGAAAGGAAGCGAAAAATCATTTATGCATTTCTAATTATTAGTAACTTACAGAAGTTTCCTGTAAAAAAGAAGTAACTTACACAAGTTACAAGGAACATCTCAAAAACAGTTGAAACATCACTTTCCTTCTAAGATCTCCCCTAGGCATGTTTCAACAAAATGGTTATCCTCCCAGCAAAGCTTATTGACCAGGGAATGACATATGCCTTTTTCCAGGGCATAACCTGTCCTAAACATAAATTCTAAAACAAGTAAAGAATCATCCAACCTATCTCTTTGTGTGAGACATTCAACCAGTCTTCCCAATGTTTCCTGCTTTGGTTTAAGTTTACTATTTAACATTTCTATGAACCATTCCATTCCCTCTGCAGCATCTCCTTGATCACACAACCCAATGATGATATAATCATGAGTACCGACAATTGGTTCCAAACCTATATTCTTCATATCATTCCACAAACCTTTTGCTTCTTGTACTGCTCCAACCTGACAAAGCTTTTGAATAAGTGGGGTGTATGAGTAAGTTGATGGCTGTAAACCTTGAGCCAGGAGCTCTCGGAATAAGTTCATACTTTCTATTATCTTGCCCTCCTTACAGAAACCTTGGATTACAGTGTTGTATGTTATCAAATCACGAGCAATACCCTTCTGGTGCATTTCTTGGAACAATCTATATGCCTCGTCAGTTCTTCCATGTAAACACAGCCCTGTCATCATTGCATTGTAACTGACTGTGGTTTCATTATGACCTTTATTACACATCTCCTTGTACAAGATCTTGGCCTTTTCAAAATTATCAATCTTACAATACCCATGAATCATTGCATTGTATGTGTACTCATTTGGATGATATCCCTTCTCAATCATCTCAAACCACAGCTTCCTAGCTTCCCCAAGCCAACCCATTGTACAAAGACCATGAATCATGGTCGTATACATGACAATATCTGGAGCATAGCCTCTATCCTTAAGATCATTAAAAACACGTAAACCCTCAAGCCCCTTTCCTTTCTTACACAGCCAATTGATTACCTCCTGATATGTATAATTATCTGGGAGACGGTTCTTTGCAATCATGGTATGGAGGAGTTCAGATACTCTAGTATATTGCTTCTCCTTACAAAACCCAGATATCAATTTATTGAAAACAGCATTTTCAGGGACTAGTCCGTTTACCAAAACCTGTCGAAGAAGTTCATAACCTTCTGAAACCCTGTTATCAGCACAAAAAGCTTGAATGAGATACCCAACAGTCTCAACATCAACATCTGCTACAACACCACATTCTATCATTTCTTGATACAATTTCCAAACAAAAGAAGTCCTCCCAACCTTAAGGCAACCCGACAAAACCGCATTCCAAGTCATTATAGCAGGGCACACTCCAGCCTCTTTCAACCTATAAAACACATCAATCGCGTCCTGAATACATCCACCCTCACAAAGACACTGAATATAACTTTCTAATGAGGCAGGCTCAGGGCTAAAACTGGTATGTTCAAGAAAAGATTTTGCAGCATTGCAGGCCTTAGCCTCCACGAGGGCACTGAAAAGCGCTTTACACGAAATGGGGTCGGGTGAAAACCCATTATGAGAGCTCAACCAGAAGAAAAATCGAAGCGATAAAAGCACATTCTTTTGGAGCTTCAAAAGCTCGGTGAAAAACTGGGGATCAGAGAAATTGAAAGAAGGGTACTCAGAGGGCAGAGTCTGCTCCCATCTGGGTTTTGTTCTAATAATCTTACAAATATGTTGGGCAACTTCTGTAAAGTCACATTCTTTGGTTTCTGTTGTATGGTATCTGATTTGGGTATTTGGGCTTTGGCGGGCACGAGGGTTTTGGCGGAGGAAGATTAAGATTGAAGATGGAGCTCTGGCCATGAACCTTTTGCTCTTTCTAGCTATGAATTGAATACTCTTTGTCGATGTTGAAAATGATGCTCAAAATCACTGAACAAATGTTGGCAAAAAAAAAGGTTCAAGTAGGAACTTTTACATACAATTAGATGGGCTTTGCTTTGAAGCAGAGCTGTGCAGGCTGTGGAGGGAATCCATGGCGTCAATAAGCGAACCAACCAGTTGGAGCAGCGTTTTTCCGAATCTATCGTCTCTGTCTACTACCCAGGACAACGGCAGGCAGACGGCAGTATACGCCAACCCCTTTTGGCAAAAACGACACGTAGTATATCAAGAGATTGAGCGTTGGAGGATGACAGGACCCAATTATTATCATTTTCAATGGTTCAAGTTTCAATTTTCGGATTAAGAAAAAAAGTTCATGGCGATTTTGACAATTAGCCATAAAAGTAAGAGATATTTATATACCATTCTTAGGGTCAGTTTGACATTGTTGTGCTATAAAAATAATAGCTATAAGAAATCAGCTGTGAGAGAAAACAGTTTGGCATTTGGTAAACTTATTCCCGCATAATCATTAAACTCAACGTCTCTTTGAAATTGATTCCTGCATAATCAGAAAATAAAAGCACTCATTAGTTGTTTTCCCTTATAACTTTCTCTTACAGCAATTTTTAACAATAAGTGATTCTCATTGTTTACCAAACATGATGGGCTTTCCAAATTTTTTTTTAAAATCACTTATCATTCCAAATAAGCAATGTCAATCGGGCACTTAGCATTAATGATATAGATATATCTTACACCATTTAATTTCCATAAACAAACCAAAAAAATGACAACTGGACTTATTGAATTAATTTTGATTATTAAATTACTTTAATGCCTTATTGAGTGTTTTGGTTTTTTATTTATTTATGAGGTTTTGGGGTTGAGCTTGTTTTAAGAAATCGATGTCAGTTTTGTAATTTATAAGAAGTTAAAAGCCTCGTTGTTATGTTGTAAATGGGCTTTGAATGTATTTCTAAAGTCCATTTCATATATAATCTAATTAAAAATAATAATTTAAGCCCCTATATTGGGTATAATAGTGAATCTCCTTATTTTTAATTAAATTCAAATGAGGAATACTTCCTTATTACATTGTAAACTTAAGTAAATTGAGTAATATAAAAATAAATTAAAGTAAAAAGACAAGACATTTACTTAAATGTTTGGGATGGAAATAAGATAATGGAAGACCCTATTCGGGCCGAACTAATCGGGCCATGGGTGGGCCTACTCGGGCTGGCTGGGCCATAGGTGGGTCTAGTCGGGGAGGACAATGGGCCGCAAAGGTTTCAAATCCTAAACCCAAGTCCTAGCCAATCTTAGAACAAGTTGAACCGAGCAGGCCTAACCATCATGCTGGGCTTTAACCCATCGGGCCTCAGACTACCCTTTTCAGCCCACGGGCCAAATAATGATCCCTAGAGCACTTCCATCCATTGCTTGTGCCATAGCAAAAAGGGACCTAGGTTGAAAAAGACCCCCACACCAACAAAACTAGCCCTGGCAACTTATGGGCTCCATCAAAATCAGGCAAGACCAACCCGATATGGTACTGAAGGAGCTGACGTTAGCAAATAAATTATTCTCGAGCACGCGTCTCGTCCAGTGAAGAAATCTCCAACAGTCATGTGCGCCATGTGGCGGCTCCTAGGCCATCCGATTCAAATTTTTTTCTCCATCCAATGGCTACCAATTTTTATGTAATAAAAATTGAAAAAAAAACAATTTTGAAACAATTTTGAAATAAAATACATTGTTTACCTAGGAATGTTCTTATCAAATTGTTTTTTATGAATACCTATCCTCATATCATAAGTATAAATAAAATTAATCTCATGTGAATAGTGATTGCTTTTGGGTTGCCATGGCAATGGGTGGGAAAGTAAATACAAAATTGTTAAGGTAGACACTACTCATGTGAACTGCACCCGCCCTTGCTTATCTTTGCCTTTTGCCATGACAAATGGGTGGAATTGCTTTGTGGGCATAGACAAACTTTTGAGGTAAATTATACTCTCTTTTTTGGTTGAAAGAGGTAAACTATACTTAGATAACTGAAACAATGTTTAAAAAATTGCCAATCGCCTTTAAAAAAAGAAAAAAGAATAGAGTTTCATTTGTTGTAAAACTAGTGGATGCAATGCTTAACCCATAAAGAAATAATGGTGCATAGGTCGAAAGGCAAAAACCAAAGTGAACACAATTGTTGATGTTCAAAACTGAAGTAAACTTAAAAGGGGAATGAATTCTTCAAGTGCTGCTTCAGTGTTCCTTTGGCAACTTAGAGCGTATCTACAAGACAAGAAGATCTGTAAGGACCTTGGCACCAATATGGTACTGACCGAAGCATCTCTTATGCTTAAGTCAATGAAGTATGAAGTGTCAATTTTGCAGAGTAACACCATGGTTAAAAGATTGATTACCTGGTGCTTTGGGAGCAGTGAAAGCAATTTCAACCTTCATAGATAGGTTGTCTGCATTTGATAAGTTTCATTGACAGAGTAAGCATGAAAAAGAAGAAATAAATAACCTACTCTCGTATTTTGTTATTTCACATCACCACCTTTATGATTTTCTAATTTTGTTTGCCAACAAGGATAAAACTTGGCTCTCATCTCTTGCAAAATAGCTTGGACAACCCAAGATCAGAAACTTTTTGGCATTTTTTATTTATCAGAATGTATTATTTTCTGCCTACAATCTTCATGGAGATAAGCCAATACTTGGGCTATATATGTCTAAGTTTAATCTTCTTTCGAGTTTCCCAATCCAATTCTATACCATTTGTCTGCTCTGATCTCTTGAAAATACAACTGCTCTTAATTCATATGGTGTAGGCTCCCAACTCTTCCAAAACCTCGAGTTCCAAGTTTTTCCCTTGAAATCCTCTGTGGCAACTTGCAATTTCATCATGTGATCAAAACCTCATGATTATTGCCATTCCAAGAACTTGCTCAACAAGATTATTGCCTTCCTCTTCCTCCAATTTGGTCCTTCTCAACATCACAAAGTATATAATATATAATTTCAAAAGTAATATAAAAAACATTATGAAGTTTCATATCCCACATCGGCTGTAGGAGAGAAGTGCGTTGGTGAAGTGGTGTATAAAAGCAGAAACCAAACTAGAGAAAAAGCATACCTTTCTCGGCCTTTTGGCTAAGATCAAGTGTAGTATCTGTTCTTATCAGTTTAATATCTGATACGTGGGCCAATGGCCCACACGATATTAAATTAATTTCTTTAGGGGGAGGACCCACTACGGTAGCTTGCTACTGGGGCTCTCGAGCGTCGCCCAAGTGTTGCACTACTGCATGGGCCTGGCGCACCCCACCAAATCTAGTTCAAAGTTGGCATAAAATGACATCTGTTGGGAGGTACTCCTGAGCTCTTTTCTGCAACATTTGAAGTAAATAGGCTTGACCTTGAGCGATCCCCATTTCTACCTCTTATGACTATCTCAATAAGAACAATTCGAAAGCTTTAACAGTTGACTATTAGCAGGGGCAAGGCGCCCTGGAGTTCCTACCACTTGATTCCCATCTCTTACAATTAAAGCTTCTACAGCCCAAAATCTGGAACTTTGGCATTGAAATTTCATCCAAGAGAATATCATGCGGTTTTATATCAGGGTGTATTATTTTCTGCCTACAATCTTCATGAAGATAAGCCCCTTTGGCTATGTCTTCTTTCGAGTTTCCAAATTTAATTCTAGACCATTTGCTGCTCCAATATCTTGAAAATCCAATTTTCTAAAGACCCCTCAAGTGATATATTCATATAGTGGATGAAATTTATGCACAAAATCTAATCAACCTTACGAGGTTAAAATGGTGAAGTCTCCCAATTGTATCAACTTCAACTAGGAACGCCCTCATCCCCTGGCCCCTGTTATCCAACCGCTTTACTGCAATCATTGTGCTATCTGCCATAACTCCTTTGATCACAGAACCAAAGCCTCCACTTCCAAGTTCTTCCTTGAAATCCTCTATTGCAACTTGCAAGTCAACATATGAAAATTTCATGATGGGAATTCCAAGAACTTTGTCAATGTCGTCTTCACCTTCCTTCGATTTGGTCTTCCTTACCGTTATGCTGCATACAAAAGATAAGAAAAAGAATGGCACCAGCTATGGCAAGATATGTGACAATATCCATAAAATACCCAATTACAAAGAACGTTACAGCCTAACCATATATTATCTATTTTCATCATCCTGAAAACCCCACAGCATAGTACTTGGAAACCAAGTTTAAATGAAACGAGTATCACGTTACTGTTAATGTTGACAGAAGTTTCACATTTATTTGTATAAAATAGAGTTCTCCCCAATTCGGGAATGATGTGGTTACAGACATAAAAAAATGAAAGTAATCTCAAAACATTTCTAAATCAGATGAAGAACACCTACCAGTATGACCTCCCTTACCAGTAATCTCCACAAGAACACTTCCCATTTTTAAAGTGATGAAATCTACTAGCATCACGTACAATAATTTCTCGGTTTTTTATTAGAGATATGTACTTAATAGCAACATGACAATCAATGCAAACACGCAAATTCTTCATCACCCTTACCGGTACACCCTCAGGTGTGTTCATTAATGCAAAAGCAATTGCCAACTTCTCACTATGGTGAGCCAAGTTGTATTCTTTCTCCTCGTTATCCATGTCATGCAAAACAGAGCCAGTATCAGGCACATAACCATGCAACTTCAACTCAGATGTTAGTTCTTGAAGATACATATCAAGCTCCTTAGATTGTGGATGTGATTTATCACCAATACAGAACTGGTGAACTTGATTTTTAATTTCCAGCCAGCTTATGCCTGGCTCCTTCTTGACCTTTCTATCTCTCATGGCTTTTCTCACCTCAGAAACATCCTGCCACCTTCTAGCTGAAGCATGAATGTTTGAAAGTAGCACGTAAGAAGCCGAGTCCTGTGGATCTTGCCTAATAACTTCTTCAGAAATCCTTTTTGCTATATTTGCGTTCCTGTGGATTTTACATGCAGATAACAAAGTTTTCCATATGATAGCATCTGCTTTAACCGGCATTGATCTTATCATTGACTCAGCTTCCTCCAAACGGCCAGACCGGCCAAGCAGGTCAACTACACATGTATAGTGCTCTAGTCTAGGCTTCAACCCATACTTTTCTACCATTGAGTTGAAGAACTCAATCCCTTTCTCCTTCAATCCACAATGACTGCAGGCATAAAGCAAACTTAAGAAAGTAACTTCGTTTGCCTCTAATTCTTCCTGCTCCATCTCCTCAAACAGCTGAATGGCTTCCTCTACTCGTCCATGAAACCCATAAGCAGAAATCATAGAACTCCGTAGTACAACATCTCCACCTACACTTTCCTTGAAAGCTTTTTGAGAATCTTCAAGACACCCGCATCTTGAATACATGCTAATTAAGGAACTAATGACCGCATCAACTGTGCTAGCCCCAGCTTTAATTGCTTCAGCATGAATCTGCTGACCCTGTCCGAGTGTTGCCAATTCCGAACATGAACTAATAACACTCACAAATGTGACCTTATCAGGTCGAAAACCTGCGATTTTCATTATATTATACTGATCCAACACTGCCTCAGAGTGCCCATTTTGAGCTTTTCCTGCAATGAGAGTATTCCAAGCAACCACATTTCGAATTGGCAGTGATTTAATTACTCTTTCCCCTTCTTCCAAGCCACCAGACTTCATATACATATGAGCCAAAGAGCTCCCAACAACCAAATTGAACTCAAACCTGCATTTCATCACATAAGCGTGAACCTGTCGCCCAACATGTAATGCTCTCAAACCTGCACATCCCCTAAGAACACTACCCAAAGTGAACTCATCAGGCAAAAAACCCCAACTCGTGCATTTCCGAAAACAAACCCAACCCCTCCTCATTAAATTGAAACTGGGTCAAACCCGTGACCATGGCATTCCACGTAGCCACATTTCTCTCAGGCATTTCGTTGAACACCTTCTGGGCACTTTCCAAATCACCCTTTTGCACATACCCATTGATCAAAATGTTGCAAGACATAATATTTCTCCTTGGCAGATGACCAAACAGAGTTAACGCTGCTCCCAAGTCTCCAACTTTGGAGTAAAAGTTGAGGAGGTGATTGGATACGAACTTGTCCGCGGAACATCCAGATGTGATAATCAAAGAATGGAGCTGCTTTCCTAATGAAAGTGACTTTCTGGGTATGCATGCTTGGAGGAGGTGTGAGAAGAGAGATGGGTTTGACCATATCTCAGATTTAAAGCTCCCAAAGGCTTCTTTGATATGTCCTTTGGAGCAGAGGCTGCTCAACTGTTCTGCGGCGGAGTCTCCAAGCTTAGATACAACTCTGGAGGTGTTTGTGGACAGAAAGCGTGGCGTGGGAATGCGTATAGTGTTGAATACGGAATTGCAAGACTTGTCCCCATACATCTGGCTGGCGAGTTGTATTCAAAACATGTAAGGACTGGAACTTTATCAAGGTGGTGCTGTGGCGGGAAGTTCCTTTTCCTTTTTTACTCGATCTTGAGATTTACAGGGTTTTGTGTACAATAAAATTTATGAATGGAGCTCCCTTTTTATTTTATTAAAAAGACAGAAGTATTAAAGAATTTATGCAATATGTCAATCCTTTTGGATTTTACTTTTCAAATGAAGTATAATATATAGATATTCTAACTTTTTTCATAGTAAAAAGAGAGTGTTATTAAACGAACCCCAAAATTAACTTACTACGCATTACTATCAAACTATTTATTGTATTACTAATTTACCCTAGTATAAAGTGATAAAAATTGATATATTAAATTGCAAAATAAATGTAATTGTAATAAATACACCATACTCACCATATTCAACCGTGAGTAGGAAAGTAACCCCAAAAGCATTTGTTTTTTGTTGTGACAAGTCCAATGAATCTCTTATCCATGCTTATGGGAGTGCAAACTAAGCAAGAAAGTATGGAGGCTTTCTATGTTGGGATTTGCTGTTGAGTAGTGGCATATGTTAAGCTTCATTGATTTCTTTGAGAAAGCTAAAACAGTTTTGACTTCTATTGAGTTGGACCAATTTGCTTACATTTGTTGGATGTTGTGGAAAGCTAGAAAATGATAATCTTCATGGTCAAGGTGTGCATAATCCGATCCATCTTCTTGAGAGGAGTTTTGAGCTATGAAGAATCTCATAAATCTCAGGAAGAGCCACGTGCTTGTAGGGCTAATCAGAATGAGATTTGGAGTTGTCCCCCTTGAAGGTTTCTATAAGCTCAATGTTGATGGAGCTACTGACAATGCAACATGCTTGCATAGTATAGGTACAGTTGTTCGTAATGATTCTGGAGTTTTTATGGGTGCCCTAGCCATACAAAGCCCTCACAGGGTTTCCATTCTAGCTACAGAATTTCAAGTGATATGTAGAGGAGTTTTATGTGCTGCAGGTGCTGGTTTTTTCCCTCTCATAATAGAAACTGACTTTTTTGAAGATGTTATGATGATTAATTCAAAGGAGACTATTTGGGCTACTATCGGCAACATTATAGATGATGTGAGAGACTTGCTCATGTAGTTCCCCTTCTTTATAGAAAAGTTGATAGAGGTCCAAAAATCCAACCAATAATTGGGTGTAGTCCTCGAATTATTATTTATTGATACAAGTCCCTTGACTAGTTTGCCACGTAGATTACATTCCATCTTTGACATGTTGATTCAAATTTTTGTATTAAACTGATTTGTATTTAAATTTTTTTATTCCCATTATGTCCCTATTGTCTAAAATGAGTAAGATGAGAATTTATATGCCATTATTTTTATTTTTGTTCACCCTATGGTAGAGGTATAGTATATACTCTTGTAGATAAATTATTATATGGCATAGGTATATTGTCATATTACCTATTGCATAGGTATATATATATATATATATATTTGTTTTTTCATATTTTAGACAATGAATAATAGTATTTTATGTACATTTTTTTGTAGGTAACATACAAGTTTATTTGTCTATTTTTGTATTTGACTTATAGGTAGTCTTCTGATTTATGTTCCTAACTTATATGCGGTATTCTAATTTATGTTCATGACTTATAGGTAACACGATTTATCACTAAGTTTTTTTCGTTGCTAATAAGAACATTATTTACTTGTATATTAGGTACATAATTTAATGTGGGTGCTTGCCTAATTGATTAGTATAATATGTGGGCCTTTACTTCAATTGATTAATTTGTATTTTACCCATATATTAGGTAAATATTATCAATGAAAGAATTCCAAATTTAAATTCTGAAATTTAATTGCAAGTAAATAATTCATTAAATTTAGATTTTCAATGTTTTCCTTATGTACCTCAAAGGGTAAAATCGACACAATAAAAAGAGTAATAAAAGTCAAAGGACCAACATCTAAAACCAAAAATGTGTGGACTAAACCCAATGACAGTTAATCGTTTTGGACCTACATCTAAGAACCTCTTTTCTTTAAAGGAAGTCAGTCCAATTTTGACCTAGCGAGTGTAACAAAGTGGCTCATGCTATTTCCCGTTTTGCTTTACATGAACAAGGTCCTTATTATTGGTTAGAAGAAGGTCTTGTGTGGCTTCTTGATGACCTTATTGTAACCAATGTTTCCGTTTAATGAAATTTACTTTTTTTTTATTTTTTTATTTTAATTATAAAAAAAGGCCTAATCAAACGTACCAATTCTTTTGCTACTACTACTCTTTATTTTCAATACGAATTTACTATGAACTGCGAATTTGTTCTTCTATGATCGGGCCTTTTGTTTTGATTTTTTATTTCTTGGGTAATGATCATTTTCAGTCTGTTAGAGCTTCAAGCTATAAAGATTTAAGTTAGTTGCTGCTTTATCTGAATATGGTTGGTCCAAATTTTGAAGTAGAAGGAATGAATTTAATTTATCTTTGTTGGATCTTTGTGTTTTTCTTTTTTTCTTTTTCTTTTTTCGTAAATACTGAATTGGGTATTTCTTGATTGTTAACGAAGGTTTAAAGACTGAATCTTTATATTTTCGTTTTTAAAATTTTATTTTTAGGAAGTATCTTGCTCAAGAGTGAGAGAGTCAGTTTAGAATTGGAAAATTTATGCATCTCTGATAATTTACTGAAAGAGACCATTTTGACTGAAGGATCTTTTTCACAAAATCTAATGTATTTCGTAATTACTTGCATTTTTCGCTTTTATTTTTTTATAATATTTCTCCATCATTGTATACTAATCTTATATATGAGCATCAAAATTACTATAAGATACTAGTGAGGAATTTTCTTTTGTCAAGGATTCACTGGAGGATTAACATTGGTAGAAGGAAAGAGAAGTACCAATATACCCAGAGCTATCTGTTCAAGCATAGCTTCAACATCGAATCGAAACGAATGATAGTTTGGTAAATTGCAGGAGGGCTAGTACATTCATCCAGATCCTAAATTATCAATTTACCACCTATAATTCTCAAGAGAGAAACCATTCAATGCAACTTATGATGTAGTGCAAAACTAGAACTTACTGATTTGACCTAAATGAACAGTGAAACCATGGCTACTAATCAGCTCATAGCTTGAGCATCGTGTGCGCAGAGAGCGAACAAAAACCTACCAGTTTAAGTATGCAGTCACAAGGATTTTCAAACAGACCAAAGGCCCAAGTATATTTGGTCATTCCAACTTACAGTACTTTACATATGATCAAAAAATTACAGCTTTATACATTTAATCAATTACAGACGTTTAGCTAAGTGTCGATGACAGTATGAGTTCACTACCTAAACAGCGACTGGTGATGGAACTGAAGCAGGGACCCGGTTTTCAACTGGGATTTCAACGAATTCAGCGAGAAGTGCCCGGAATTCATCCCCAGTCATTGTTTCCTTCTCAAGGAGAACCTCCACGATCTTGTCAATTGCTTCACGGTTGTTTCTTATGTGGGTCAATGCTATCTCATATGCTTCATCGGATAATCTCTTGATAGCAGAATCAATGTCTTCAGCAAGTTTTTCTGACATTGAGTTCCTTGCCATCATTCTCATTATGACGTCACCACTCTGGGATGCGTCCATCAACGACCACGGTCCAATGTCAGACATTCCAAAGGTTGTGACCATCTGCAACAACGCCAATTAAGTCTCAGTACAGTTGATTTAATATGGTAAAGAGCTAACGAGAGGGTGCTCTTAAAGCAGTTAACTTCGGAGCCACACTAGGAATTCAACAAATAGGACTGGAAACCACTATTTAAACTGGCAATTTCAAATGTCTGCCTTAACCGGTCTACGGGGAAGCTAACATGAGTAACAATATAATAAAGCTCTTATGCTTCTAAAGTACGAAAGAACTAAGAGTTTCAAGCCACATTTCATAAGACCAAGGATCACTGAAATTCGACAGTTATTTATAACCAGATAATGAATATCTTCAGTTACCTGTTTGGCCAAACCAGTGATCTGCTGCAAATCACCAGCTGCACCTGTTGTCACCTCAGGCTCACCAAAGATCACTTCCTCTGCAGCTCGACCACCAAGCCCACCAACAATTCTTGCAAATAGTTGCTGCTTGGAGATCAAGGTAGGATCATCCGCAGGAATAAACCAGGTAAGACCCCGTGCCTGACCTCGAGGGACCAGGGTCACTTTTTGGACAGCATCATGCCCTGGAGTCAATGTCCTGCATTGAGGAAAAAATGAAAACATTGTGTGGGTTATTTAAGTTCCATTTTTCTACAATTTTCCTTACAAGGTATTTGAGCTTCATAAGCACAAGTAATAACAAGCTAAGTAAGATATCTTTGGATATATCAAATGATAGGATGGGTGCAAGGGAGTAGAAATGAGAGTGAGAGAAAAGCATACAGCAAAAAGGTGAGCATTGGTGCGAACCTATAACATTCAAAGCTATACCATCAGAAGTTAAAACGCATTTTTATAAAATTTAGTTGATGAACTTGGATCATGAATGAAGTAATGAACACTCTTGTAGAAAACCTAAACAAGTTTCTATGATCTTAAGATATTGGATGGGTTCCTTTGCCGCTGATGATATTAATATACTACAAATTCAAACATTCAAACCTAATTTTATATCTATAAAATAACATAACTAAAAACAAATAAGTAAGATTCATATCGCAGAATATTCATGGGATTAATGCAAAGAGGAAACCAGTGTAAAGAATGAACCCTGGCCCGATGAAAACTATCATAAAGAGAATTTGGAGACAACAAGAACCAGAGACTAAATTATCACTTACCCACAGATGGCGTGACCAACTTCGTGATATGCCACCAGACTTTTACTCTTTCCATCTGTCATTACTGTTCCTTCCATTCCAGCCACTATTCTATCAATTGAATCATCAATCTCTTTCGGTGAAATTGCCGTCTTCCCGCGCCGACCAGCCAATATAGCTGCTTCATTTAGAAGGTTTGCAAGATCTGCTCCACTAAAACCAGGTGTCCTCATGGCTACAACATCTAGGGAAACATTTCCATCGAACTTCTTATTGCTAGCATGAACCTTTAAGATCTCTGTTCTGCCCCGTATGTCGGGGACATCAACAGACACCTGCCTGTCAAATCGGCCAGGCCTCAATAAGGCAGAGTCAAGAATGTCTGCCCTGTTAGTCGCTGCAACCACAATGATACCAGTGTTGCCCTCAAAACCATCCATTTCTGTCAAAAGCTGATTAAGGGTTTGTTCTCTTTCATCGTTTCCCCCACCAATTCCAGTTCCTCTTTGCCGTCCAACAGCATCAATTTCATCAACAAATACAATGCAAGGTGCATTCTCTTTGGCCTTCTTAAAAAGATCACGAACTCGGGAAGCACCAACACCAACAAACATTTCAACAAACTCAGAACCTGAGATGGAGAAAAATGGAACACCAGCTTCACCAGCAATTGCCTTTGCTAACAGAGTCTTTCCAGTTCCTGGAGGACCAACAAGAAGAACCCCTTTAGGAATTCGAGCCCCAACAGCAGTGAACCTCTCGGGCTTCTTCAAGAATTCCACAACCTCCACAAAATCCTGCTTGGCTTCATCTACCCCAGCAACATCATCAAATGTCACTCCAGTGTTCGGTTCCATTTGGAACTTGGCTTTAGATTGACCAAATTGTAGAGGAAATCCAGGCCCACCAGGACCACCCATGCCTCCAGATGAACGCCTTGAGAGCAGGAACAAACCCCCAATTAAGATTAGTGGGAAAGCCAGATTTCCAATCAGGTTAAATAAAAGAGAGCCTGAATCTTCTTGGGCATTATGTGCTGCAAAGTCAATGTTCTTTTCCCTGAACTTCTGGAGGAGCTCTTGGCTTAGTCCAGGAAGCTGAACGCGAACTCGCTGCAATCGGTTCCCTAACTCAGGAGAAACAGCCTCAACAATAGCTATGGTTCCATTCTCAAATAAATCAACTTTTGTCACCCTGCCCTTGTCCAGATACTCCAAGAATCTAGAATAAGACATCCTTGAAGAAGAGACCCCTTGATCATCAGCTGCCATAGCATTCCCTGCTCCAAGTAAAGCAGGAGCTCCAACTCCCACATTTCCAAGCAACAACTTCAGAAAGCCTCTTCTTCCCTCATGCTGCCTTTGGTCCAGCGATGCCCTTGTGACAGATGTTTTGGTCACCTTACCCAATGATGGCAGAGCTGAAGGGTGCAAGAGATGTCTCCCAGAAAAGTCCTTGCTCAAAGTTTGTTTAGTACTATGGGTAGATAACCCATTCCCCACAAGGCATGCTGACGATGCTGCCATCTGTGAGTACAACAAGAAAGGTGCTTGTAAGTTAATGAATTAATGAAAAATCCAAAAACAAATGCATAAGTATTGCAATGTCAAGAATGACTGTCAGATTATTGAAATGAAATCAAGTAGTTCAACAGCCATGCAAGACAAAAAATATCACAGTAAGGGGCAGATGAAATCAGCTTTATTTCAAGACAGCATTATAATAATGACCTTAAGACAAAAGGTGGCATGAATAAACATTACTGGAGTAGAAATTAGAGCAATTCAACATTTTATAGAACAACATGAATGAATTCCAAGATCTTCACCCATATCACAATATTTAAGCAATTTCTCATAAATGGAAAGAGGGAATAGCCACAAGATAAACTTTTAAAACGGATAACCCAATAGCAACACATTCCAGTTCAACTAGCCCTTTAATGTAGTTTTTACCCAACACATGATTTTTTTCAGTCACTTTTTTTTTCTTCAGAAGAAAATGAATTTAATCACAAGCAAACACAATAGCATAAACTTTAGGGAGTTTCACTAAAACACCCAAAATGGGAGCTGAAATTATAAAAAAACCCAACACCCAAAACACTTTATAAACACACCCAAAACTCATCATTACACACACTCAAAACCCATTTATAAACACACCCAAAAAATATACAATTGTTGACTTTGGGGTTGATTTTGGGTGTGTTTCTATGTTTAAATAGTGTTTGGGTTTTTTTATAAATACATGTCTAGGATTGGGTTTATTTATAAATTTGTATAAACTTTATGAGGCCGAGGAGAAAATGAAAGAAGCCATCACGAGACAAATTGAAGGACTGGTAACAAAGATGGTCTTTCTGATTCAATAAACCCACAAATACATGCAAAATAAAGCTTAATTATGAATAATATTTAGCTACCTCAAGAACGAAGCATCCCATCCCATTGACAGCAACAAAAAATTAAAAACAGTTCACATTCAGGCCAAGCCCACCAAACCCCTCTCCAGATTTTTTGTTTCAAAAGTACCAATATCAAGACATAGGCATAGAAATACACAAACCCATATGGGTACAAAGCAAGTTACGGACTAAAATGCACTGAGACTGAACAATTGAAAACAAACCCATCACAGATACAAGCTAATTCAAGCTAAGTAACAGTCGAAGAAGTTTGTACCTTGCAAAAGGGAGGATTTTTTAGAGGGAAAGAATGTGGATTTAAGAAGGGCGAGCGAGATAAATAGCCCTGGACCCTTTGGTGCAGAGAGAGCTGAGAGGGGAAGGAGAAATGAAGAAGCAAAATGGTATTTAGATGGAGTGGATGTGGTTTCAGAACAGCGTGCGTGGCTTGATGCTAGTGGCTAGTTCCTGTCTTTTTCACCTGTTTGGATTTTTTTGGGACGTTTTTGAAGAAATTCATTTTCGGTCAGAGGACTTGGAAATCGTTTAAGATTTTTGTTTTTAATTTTTAATTTTTCTGTTCTTATGCTGGGGATCTTAAAAGGGCACGTCACATATTTAAGCCAGGAACTGGGGAAAAAAGAGTACACGTCACACACTTTGCACCATGTGGACGCAATCAAAACTTTTAAAAAACATTGTTTTTTCCTCTTTTCAATCAGCTAAAACAGTCGGTAAACATTTCGTCAGGGCACTGGCACCTAATTTTCATCTTGTCAAAGAGAATTTTGAGTTCAAATCTCATAAACGATTATTTTATAATTACAGAATTCTTAGGAATATAATATATTCGAGGGAACTTTGATTATTTTACAACTTTAAAGTTCGAGTTAACTAAGACGATTTTTATGCACGTGACACAAAGAACCTTAATTTTTGTTTGAATTACAAAATTATTTGTTGTAATAGAGGTATAGATTATAATTTGATTTTTCTCATCACATTAAACAGGAGTCAATGCAAGTGTACTGTCACTGAATATTTAGTTTTGCTTGTGAAGATGAAGATAGTTGAAAGGCATGTACCAATACCGACCTCTAATGAGATATAATTCTATGATATTTTTCTCAATTTGGTTTCTTTTGGGGATCAATGGGGTTACGTGTACGTTTTTGCTACCACAACATGAAAGTGAAACGTTGAAAATACAGGTATACATTCATCAACAGGGTAATCTGATGTAAATATAGAGGCCAGAGCCCCACATATCAGGAACTATCTCCATTCGGGGAGTGCTTTCAAAAGGGTTAAAAGTGCTTTGTGGCAAACGAAAACACTTTTGACTGGGCTTGACAGAAAAATTTAAAAATAATTATGAGCAATAAAAGCGTTTTCTGAAGAAGCGGATGGTAGGAGATTGTTCTTGATATGTGGAGTATTAGCAAGCATTTTAGCATTCTAATTAAAGGCACAAACATTTCGGCATTTTTTAAGTACAAGCTTAATTTGATATCTAACTTTGAGTGATAGTCTCAACAAAAGCATTGGCCTCAACATAAGATATTTTGATTGTTTTTGTTGTTAAGGATGCAGAGCAGCGTCCCTTGCTTTACTCACATATTGCAAACCTACAGACAGGGCAGTGGCCATTGCTCTTCACCCATGGCACAATGCATTCCTCATGAAACATGTGTTTACAAGGTGTGAGCATAACCTCTTGTCTGGGCTCAAAGTCTTCCAAGCAAACGGCGCACCTCTTGCTATTTTCATCCTTCTCCATTTCATTCGCATTCACAACCGTGTCTCTGTAATACAAGTTGACCCTCTGTGATAGTCTCCTAAAAGGTTTGTATATTTCCTTTTTGAGCTTCTGCAATGCCCGCTTTTGCTCAGTGTTGCTCAATCTTGAGCCCAGTTCCAGCCTAGACGGGGCGGCTGCGTTCCATTGGTTGCCGGTGATCTGTCTCCAGGGGTTTGCCTGTCCTGCCATTTCGTCGCCAAGGACCAGAATATGAATTCGGGAACCTGGCGGTGCTGCTGATCTGCAATTTCATATATATATATATAGATGGTGACCCCAAATTAATAAGAGATGGATAGAAAATAAATAACAATGCACAAGTAATGGATGGTACGGTTGAGATGAGATGCACTTCACTTTTCGCCCATTTTAAGTCTCATTCACCTATGTTTAATCCAATGACTGATATATAATTTGTCAAGTTACGTCCGTATTAGTAACAGAAAGTAAGTATATAGTATGGTTAAAGGCTTAGAGCTTTACTAATTCTTGTATACTTATAGCATCAAATGAGCAAACATTGGCAGAAAAGGAGGTCACCTCAGAAGACTTGGGAATGAAGTTATTCCAAAATTTAGTAACTTTAGTTTACTGTAGTTGATTCAAATTTTCCATATGGAACTAGAAACTTTGCAGCTTTTCTATGCACATAAGTTGAAAATTATTGATGTTAAACCTCATACATGTGCATACTAATCACGTAATTGATTGTATTACCCTGCTAAGCCAAGAGGTTGTGCTCGTGCTCGTGCTTGCGTTCCCTCAAATGGTCGCCTTGAATCTGATGCACCTGTTCTGGTAGCCTGTTGATGCAACCAAAACAATTCATGTCACAATCTCATCATCTTTGAATAGCACGATAAAGAAACAGAGGATGAGACTATACTTACTTGGGTGGCTTGAAAATTATCATACAGGGGACTAATAGATTGTCCGAAAGGCCATTCACCAATATCGTCATTGATTCCAAAGAAGTAGTCATACGGATCATGATAGGTAAGAAGAGGAGGAGAATAGGCTGGAATGTTATTGTTGGTGCTTCTGCTCATGGTGTAAGGTTAGATGCAAAGTTGATGGTTTTGGGATTTTATGAGCTTTTATTCCTTCCTCTGCTTGAAGGTCTTTCAGGCACTAGGGAATACTTATATCTTCTCAATGTTTTCATCTTTTGCTTTTATGCTCCTCACTTTCGTATTGTAATGTCAAGTGGCGATGTATGCGATGGTTTCTTCATTCTATAGATGCCTTTTTTATGGTGGCTTACGTGAAAAAGCTACAACAGATTCGACGGAAAGTAAGGTAGGAATCGATTCTTACCCCATCTCGCATGGGATCTTTTTCCTGTTTCTGTGATTATGTGATTGAGGTGACAATGTATTCTACGGTAGAGATTTCCCAGCATCAGCACGCATGCATTTTCACACACACTTAAGCATGCATTTTCGCACACACTTAAGCAATCGTTAATGCATACGGATGCTCATGCGCATGTGGACGATTGTGTTTGATTGGTGAAGTTCTTGATTTCTTTAGAAAACTTTAATCCTTTCTCTGGTAAAGGGTGAGGATCGTCTCTGTTCAGAAATGACAGAATTTTCTATTTGTTGATATTGCAGTTCTGAAATTCTCTAATGACAAGTGAACTCTGCATTTGCCTGCTCTTAAAAGTTTATTCCTCTAAGCTTTCAGTTGTCACCTTTTGGCCCCCATTAACTTTGTCAATGCATCAATGCATGTAAAAAAGCTATTTAAAATTTAATTTAGTCTAATGATATCTAAATTTCCACGCTAGCGGAAGAATCATTCGTCTTTAAATTTGAAGCATATGAATTTCAATAAAAAAAAAAGGTGCTTATGGTCCACATTTTCTTCTCGAATGTACCAGATGCTGGACCTGCAAATTAACCTGGAACAAGCGAGAAATAACATAAACCAGAAAAAAATTAAGAAGCTCAAAACCACGTAAGAGATTGGATATGCAAAAGATACCTCGTGCTGACAAGTCTGCTTGCTGATATAAAATAACGTAAAATACGCAGATTTTACTTGCTCATAGTTGAAGACAAACAGAAGTTCCAGAATATCGAGCCCACAGACATGAAAGCTACACGGGCTTGAAGAGGTATCACCCTGTATAGAGAGGCATTGAGGTTAAACTATCACACAAAAGTACTACTTAATTTTGACATTAAAAATTGAAATCTATGCTAAAGTATGATGCTCTTGGAAAAGATTTGCCACATTTAGGGGGTCATACAGAAACTAACGTTTACAAACAGTTTTCAATGCTGTGTCTTACAAAATGTATAAACAGAAGCTCTGGATTACCCATACGAATGAGGGGAAAAAGGAGAAAAAAAGAGGATAAGAGAAAAAGGTGTACCAAAAATTCAATAAACTGACAGGTATCCAGAACCTAAATCCTGCACAAATAATAATAATCAAAATGAAAAGTTATCAGTTATTGAAATCTGGAGTATCAAGTGAACACAAATATCAATCAGAAGAGGTTTTTACCATAAAGTAAAGTGGGAAAAGCATCTCTCTGGTACTTGTCCGGGAGCTGTGAGAGTTTCCTTTGCCATAAATTGTTCCATGCAAAAACAACAGCAATCACAGTTGGACCAAGCACAATTTGGTTTAATAAAACCTGTAAGAAATGAAAGCTATGAGGTACATTTTAAAGGCTTGCGTTGCTTTTAAATTTTTTTTTTGGGGTTTCCAAGTTCCATAAGGTGATACTACCTCAATATTTATAATATAAAAAAAGGTCGTACCTTCAATAGTAGGTTCCCTACTGTTTTCGCAGGTAAAGAATGATCAAGAAACTGGTACCAAGCATAGGAACCGGGGCCGTATAAAAGAAACCCATAGGAAGTCATCCGAAGTGCACGAAGCCAATCATGATCTGAGAGGAGAGCATATTTTCCATCCTAAGAAAGAGGCTTTGGTCAAACACTAAACTCAAAGGACCACAATGTAACAAAGCATCCTCACAAGAAATAAACTATAACAAAGTGATTTGAAGTGCCTTAAGTTAAGATTGGACATGACAAGGCCAATTGACTGAGCTACAAAAGAGTCAACAAGCCTGGAGGATGGACCACCAAAATCAACTAGGAAGCACGCCATGAAAGCCCTAATATGTCTCCAACCTAGAACTGAATTTTCTGCAAGCAAAACAACTAGGAGAGCCAAATTTTTCAAAGAACAAAGTCTTGATCCATCATTCCACCCTCCACAACCTTAGAATCACAATCTTTTGAGACTAAGCATTGGCTTAGCAGACAACAACCTATAGCTGGAAGGTCTAACGAGGCCATCCAACATGATATAGACTCCATTTATTCTGGCATACTCGGCACTTATTCTAGTAATATTAATAAAAACAAGCTTTCCTAAAATTCACACAGTATATACAACCAAAAAGAGCATATGTATGAGCATTTGCACTAACTTTGGGGCACTGAAGAAAAACAGCATCCGCCTGCAAATTTATATGCCGGTGCTCCCCTCAGAATTACAGAAAAAAAAACTCTCAAGTCTCAAGTACCTGTTACTTACAAAACTATGAACAACCAAACAGAAAACTGAAACTTCATTTTCCTAATACCCAAACCATAGAAACCAAAAATGTCTCCTTCTTTCAGTCCCGCTATAAAAAATTATTAGAAATTTGCATTTCCCACATTTTCTGAGCACCCAAACAGGGAAAAAGGAGAAATTTTCCCCACCCCATCCCAACAGTGAAACCATTCAAGTTCCTATTTCCCACATTTTCTCAGCAACCAACCACGGCATATAATCCCAACATTTTTCTTCACAAGGAGTATGTCCCAAAAGAAACTGACCGAACATTTTTTATATTCTTACCTTAACCTTTTCCTACATTTTCTCAGCAACCAAACAAATCCCAATAAACAAAAATGAGAAAAAGTTCATCAAACCTGTTGGTTAAGAGCCTTGGCTTTTGTCCACCGCTGGCTGAGCTGAGCAATTGTGTCTCCTGTTAGAGCCAGTGAGCCAGCTGTGGCTGCTTGCTTTAAGGGGAACCAGTGACCGGCTCCTCCGGTTGCCTCCACAGAATTGGAAGACTGGGATTTGGAATCAAATCGCCTTTTTCTTTGTTGTTTCGGTTTTCTCGGTGAAGGGTTCCAACCCCAAAGCCCGCCAAGGCCTCCACCGCCAAGAGCATTCATTTTCTCAAAGCAAGGAAGACAGAAGCACAATTACTCTTTTATTATTTTTCTCTTGAGAATAGTTTCGATTTTGTATCGAGAGCGAAATGGCGTGTTGGGTTACTGACAGTGGACACGGGAAGGGTTCGGGTCGGGTTCGGGTCCAACCCGAAGATCAAAACAAATTTAAAAAATTAATTTTCTTTTACTTCCATGCTGTGCCTCATTAAACGGGCTGGACTCATGCTGTGCTGGGCCGGCCCGTCCCGTTTGACGCCTCTACTTTTACTGCATAACATATTAATTTAATTTAAACAAAAAACAAAAAAGTCTCACAGTAAAACATTTCTAACCCCCAAATCTCTTAACATGTTCTTCCTCCCATTGCTCGCCACCGCAGTATCTCGGACTCTGGTGTCGCGGGCGAAAATCCAGAGCCACCCATTCCTACGCACTTCAACGCGATTGACCATTTGTAAAATAAATTTTGGAATTTTTTTAATTTATCAGTCACAAGAACATAACCAAGATTTTCTTAATTGTAAGGTGGCTGCATTCAAACTTGTTGCTTTGGGGAAGGGTATGGGCCTTGTTCCATAACGATAGCCAAAAACTTCATAGATTGAAACAATGCAAATAGTTTATATGTCTTTCTGCAGTTCAATATAACCAAATCCTGCTGTTAACTTGTACTCAAAATAAAAAGTTTTGAAAGATAGTTCTACACCTACACAATTTTGGTTTTACAATTAGTTCACTCTATGACCAAAAGCAGATGTCACATTTTCGCAATTTTGTTTTAGCTAGTGATGCTGGAGTCGGACGTGCTGCGAACGTTGGGAGGAAGAAGAACACATTCAAAGATTTGGGGTTAGAATGTGTTTTACTGTGAGACTTTTTTGTTTTTTTAAATGTAAGTTAAATTAATAGTTTCACTAAAACACCCAAAATGGGGGCTGAAATTATAAAAAAATCCAACACCCAAAACACTTTATAAACACAGCCAAAACCCATCATTACACACACTCAAAACCCATTTATAAACACACCCAAAAAATATACAATTGTTGATTTTGGGTGTGTTTCTATGTTTAAATAGTGTTTGAGTTTTTTTATAAATACATGTCTAGGATTGGGTTTATTTATAAATTTGTATTTTTAAAATTTTTTTTTCTGAACCATTAGATTAGATCTAAGGGTGAGTGATCACAAGTCTCTTGAACCCCAGGAGTCCAAGAGAACAGGACTGTGTTATTGATAGCAAGGAGAATCTTCTCTTATCTTTTGTTCATTTATTTAACAATACATCAATATAAATAAATGTGGGATTTGAATCCAAGGCATCTCTGGATAAAGTTGAAACTAGAAACTAACAGGTCAAAGATCATTCGCAAGTGTGTTGTATTTATTTGTTACAATGACATTACAAATTGGAAGTCCAACGCAGTGGCGGATCCAAAATTTTGTCCATGTAGGGTAAGGGTATAAAAAACGTTCAACCGGCAAGGAGCTTGTAATTGAATATGTCCTTCTGAAGATATACCAGCACTGTGACTTTGGTTGTTTCTTTCAATCATTGTAAAAAGCCTCAAAATCCCCACCCACTTTTACCAATACAAGACCTCTTGCTTCTCTAAGGCAGCTTGCACTCTGCACACCAGTATTACGTATACCTTGAAATTTATTTCAGCACTGAGGCATCATTCCCCACCAAATGTCCTTGAGCCAAATGAAGCTTGGAACATGACTTATTGCTTCAAATTGTGGATTATTCAAGGTTTTTGTGCACCATAATCTTCCATTACCCACGCATTGATATCAGTCCCATGAGCTGCTGGAGGAGGTTTCCTTTTAGTTGTACGTTTCCTGTTAAGCATTGCATTGGTTGCCTGCTCAGCATTGCGCAACCAGATCTTACATTTGTGAAAATTCATTTGGAGGTGAAACTGGATACACCTGGATGTGCCATAATCACAGGCAGAGTCCTTCAAGTCAAAATCAGAACTGTCTTCCGGCTCAACCAAGTAAAGGGTTCTTGACTCCCGTGTCGGGCCGAGCAGAGGACATGCCTCAGCTTGTGCAAGGTACAACTTAGCAAATTCAGGGTCTGAAATTAGAGAATACCAAACCTTGCAGACACTTTTGCACAGATAATGCTCTTTGTTGGCAGCTTTATTAGAACATCTTGAAGGACAGACTTTGGAACATCTTGAAGGACCTATTTCTTGAATTTCTTGAATTTGTTTGTCTTTATTCCTTATTTCGATGGCCTTAGCTGTTGATTTTCTTTTCCTCTTCATGGCTATTATATGAATCTATGGGAAGATTTAAAAAAACAATAAAGAAAAGATTGTTAATGGTTAACAATCTCGGGCAATTTGTCACTTCACGGAACTCTTGACACCATCAATCTAAAAGAAAAATTTACTTTCAAACATTAGTAAACTAGATGGCATACGCCCGCACGTGTGACAAATTTTCAAGCCTAACACATGAATAACACATATTGTGTGACGTAGAGTACGTATGGCCGTTGGACTTTCACACGTGGGCTAACCCGCTCTGATATCATGAAGGAAGTTAAGTTTCCACCCCAAAACCAATTGGCAATGGTGGGAAGCAGGCCAACTCCTTATAAGCCCTTGTTGGATTTCTCAACTTTCTAATGTGGGACTTTTTGTCTTCACAGCTCCTTGGGACTATTTGGCTCCGCCCGTGCTGATAATGCTTAGAGATATTTCTCTTCTTTTTTTGTTAAAAGATGTCTCAAATTTGAATTCCGCCTCATCTGTTGATTAAAAAAATATTGTCTATGAACCATTCATCTAGCTAATTCACATACAAATCATGAATTGGCCTTTCGATCAACATGAGAAGAACTTCATCCTCGAGTTAGCAATTAACAAATGCTTGAAATAATGGATGCTAGGAGCTAAAGGCCCTATGCCCTGAGGGTGGGAAGGTCTTGGTGGCTTGCTCAACCCCACATCACGCACAATCATCTTTTTGTTCTTTATTTGTAAATTCCGAAATGCTTCAAAAAATTTAGGGCCCAAGCCCTTTAATTCAAAATTTTTATTTCCGACCTGTTTTAAGTAGTTGATTGATGAAGTAATGTATGAGTTGCAGAGGGGGTAGCTGCGAACAAGAAAATTTTATTAAGAATTACAGTACATAAAACACAGCCAGTATATGTTGTGGACAAGAAGTCCACCACAGGCACCAATACATTCACGACGTTTTTCAAAAATTTTGTAGATAAACTAGAATGAGAGAAGTCCACCACAGGCACCAATACCAAAATAAGTCTAAACTACGGGCAAACTAACCAAAGCATCACAATATTTTTATTTTCGGTTACAAGGAGGGCCTAAGCTTAAGAAGAAACTAGAAAGAAAACTACACTGGGACAAGCCTAGAAAGCATCATGATATTATTACTCTCTAAGAATGTGAAAAACGTTTACCCTGCGGGATTCACGTGGTACCAATAAAAAGGATTCTACTCAGTGACAGAGCCAAAGGACTAAAGTGGGCCCATATGCCCCCTCTCATATTTTTAATTTGGATTAACGTCATTTTAGTCCTTGGAGGTTTAGAGTCAGTATCGAAATGGGCCCCGATATTTTAATTTCATCAATTTCATACCCGACATTTCAAAATATGATCAATTTACATCGGCCGTTATATTGACCGTCAGATCAGAAGTTAAATGATGACGTGGCAGTTGTGGGACCCACCATAAAACCTATTTCTCTTTCTTCCCTGCATCTCTCTCTTTCATCTTCTTGACGACACAACGCCGCCATCTGGCCACCTCCGACTGCGGACTGGTTGAAAAATGACCAGCTACTTCCGACGACCATGTCTGGGCCAAGGCCTGACCTCCCAGTTCCTCACGACACCAAAGTGAGCTCTAGAAGGGAGAATGAGGGTTTCGTCTTCCGACGTTGATTCTGGTGGCCATGGACGTCGATTAAGGTATGGTATTTCATCCCCTCCACGTGTTCTTGTTGTTGGTATATGTAGTTTAGATCAATTTCATGATTTGAGATTTCAAATTAAAACCCCCAAAATGGCCAACTGTTTTGGCCGTGATTTACCCAATTTCAGTCAATTTTTGGCCGGGGTTCGAGAACAAAACTTGCTCCCCTAGTTAGTCTGATTGTGTTGATATAGGAGGAGATGAACAATCATTGTTTGCATAGCGATTGTGTCAAAGGGGGAAGAGAGAGAAATAGGTTTTGTGGTGGGTCCCATGATTACCACGTCAGCATTTAACGACTGACTGACTGTCAATGTAACGGCCGATGTAAATTGGTCATATTTTGAAATGTCAGGTATGAAATTGATGAAATTAAAACATTATGGCCCATTTCAATACTGACCCTATACCTCCAGGGACTAAAATGACGTTAATCGTTTTAATTTTTTTCAAACGGTTAATTATATATATATATGTGAGATTGTTGCTGGAGGTCTTTCTACATATTTTGTTTAGTTATTTTCCTTCTCTAAATGTTCAGACTTATAGAATAGAAATTGAAAAGAACACTTCATTGCAAATTAACACAACAAAATCATTAATTTATCTCCTACTGTTCCAATTTCATACCAAAGTTAATTTCTTTTATATGGTATTTTTTCTGAATTTTTTTTATAAGGTCTAACATGCCCCTTCTGACATGAATTTATGGTTTCGCCACTAATTCTCATCTCTAGAAAATATATGAAAACTCACCCCAAAAAGAGAGAAAAAATATCTAAAACATTATGAATGTGTAGTCAAATCAATCTCCACATGATACCTTTAATGATTGTTGAAATAGAAAAATGTAATTATATTGTATCCACTAATGAGATATTTTTCACACCAATTTATAAATTTGTTTTAACATTAAAGTCATTAATAAAAATCTAAACATTCACATGACTCACCGACCAAAATAAGTCTAAACTAAACCAACCAAGGCATCACGATATTATCACTACCTTAAGAATGCGAAAAAGGTTTGCCCTATGATAATCACGTCATACCAATTAAAAAGATTTGAATCCCTAAAAAATAAATGTAACTCACCCGAAAAAGAGAGAATATGTTACAAATCAGTAGTCAAAGCAGTCTCCGCATGAAACCTTTAATGATTGTTGAAATAGAAAGATAAAAAAAAACACTCAACTGCATTAAGAAATCATAATTGAAAAAGAAAACACCTAGAAAGCCTAATTGACCAAGAAAATGTAAAATTATTAAATTATTGTAAATAATACGAACTGCAAGAAAGTAATAAAAACATGAAAATTGTCCCAGTTAAATTAGGGGACATCGTGCGTCCGCCAGGACAAGTTGTGGGATTGCTATGTCTGTATTTAAGTCAAGCTTGAAAGATCTTTGAGAATACTTCCAAGCACCTTCTTACCTTTCTAGCAACATACACAATAGAAGAAAAAAAAAGAAAAAAAAAAGGCAAGAGAGATGTCTGCAATTCACCTCAGATTCCTTCCTTTACTGATAACAGACTTACGATTCAAGTTATATCTAGCTCTTACACAAATTAAAACAACATTAGAGTCCCACATCGGAAATTTACTGAAATATAGGAAGACTTATAAGGCCTTACGCTGAGGTTTATAATTGCCGAGCTTAGTAGTGTGGGCTTGTAACTAAATAGGGCATTAAAGTGATTGGTTGTATGTGGATCTTGAGTAAGCCCTAGGCCAACAGGGCACCCCCTACCCACCATGGGTAGTTAGCAATTAACAAATGCTTGAAATAATGGATGCTAGGAGCTAAAGGCCCTATGCCCTGAGGGTGGGAAGGTCTTGGTGGCTTGCTCAACCCACATCACGCACAATCATCTTTTTGTTCTTTTTTTGGTAAATTCTGAAATGCTTCAAATCATTTAGGGCCCAAGCCCTTTAATTCAAATTTTTTATTTCCGACCTGTTTAAGTAGTTGATTGATGAAGTAATGTCTGAGTTGCAGAGGGGGTAAGTAGTAGTTGCTTCAATTCAAATTTTTTATTTCCGACCTGTTTATGTTTAAGTAGTAGTTGCTTCAATTAATGGATGCTTCTGAACATATACTTTGCCCATAATCCCATAAATTATCTCCAGAAAACAAATATAGTATTTGTTTTTGCCATGAGCATTATTGTTTTAATTTTGTCTTGATGTTTTAGTTTTGATCTTGTTGATGAAGTAATAGTTTACCAAATGAGTTGAAAGAGAGGGGTGGGTCTTCGTGGTTGGTATGGTGGTGGGGTAGAAGAGGTGGTAGCTGGTCGTCGAGGATGGGGTAGGAGGGGGCTGGTTAGGTTTTTTTCAAGAGTACTGCTACACTTACTACATTTTTATCCCACATTTCTATACCACATGATGTGGCATGTCCATTTTATATGCCACATCAATTAAATCAATGAAGTGCATTTTAATTAAGACAATTAGAAAAACAAATACTGGAATAAACCATAAAAGAAAAGAAAATATTAAATCATTTTAATTGATGTGGTTGTCCACCTCAGCTGCCACATAAGGTGGTATGAAAATGTGGTATACAAATGTGGTAAGAGTAGCATTATTCTTTTTTCAATGCTTTTTAATTGATGTTTTGGTAATTGAGAGAAAGGGGATGAGATAGGTTTTTTTTTATAAAAATATATATATATATATATTTACCATGTTTTATAAATGTATTTATTATTTTTAAATAATTTGTGGGTCTCTCTGTTTCCACGCCATTTACTACGTAATGAGTTAACATATTTTTTGACGGCTGATTGACGGTGGGTATGAAAATGGAAGGAAATTAAACTGTATGTACAAAGTTTATACGAGAAAAACTTTAGGTAGCAAAGTCAAAATTTTGGTAAACTTCCGGGTAGTAAAGTGAAATTTACCATATCTTGATTGATAACTTATTCTAAAAATATAACATTAAACATTAAAGTAAATATAATATTGACAAAATTCTTAATTGCCCTCAAACTCCTCAATCAATCTGAAAACAATGCTACACTTACCAATTTCAAACTATAAGTTTTGGGTTATGTGCATGTGTATAATTAGATGACATATATTAAAGAGTGTTGTTATTTCCATTCCCATGTCCTATTTCCCTACCCACTTTATCTTCAAAATTTTAAAGACAAATTTACCTATTTGTAAAATGACTTCTAAGAGAAAAAACCCCACCTTCCCAAATTTGGTCTATTTAGTTGATACCTATCCATTTACTTAAGATCCAGTTGGTTTCTAGATCTATCACAATAAAGGAGTCATTCTATAGTGAGGGTCTTATATATGGCTCTTAGGTGCGATCCTATCTCTTAACTATTGGATCGAGCTAACCAATTTCATCTAACGACTAACCAATTTGATCCAATAATTAAGAGATGAGACCTTACCTAAGGGCCATGTATCATGCCCCTCACTATAGAATTCTTGCACAAGAGAGATATTAATCCCAAGTAAAGTATTCACTGTCATTCCCAAACAATAGTATGTTATCCTTAGTTGACAAATCTTCGGCCCGATCAGAGTTTTTATCTTAAAAAATGCTTAGATCTAATGGGTTTTTTTTTTGGTTGTGAGTGTGTGTGGAAAGAAACCGCAGTTTTCTTTCAGAGTAAGGGAGTCAAGCAGAATGGCGGAGAGCAATAGCAGTGGTTTTGTGCAGCCGGCCATTCCCAAATTTGACGGACATTACGATCATTGGGCGATGTTGATGGAGAACTTTCTCCGTTCTAAGGAATATTGGGATCTCATAGAGAATGGGATTTCGGTGGTGGGGACACAATCTGTCTCTACAGTGGTGGCAACAGAACAGACAGAAGCACAACGGAAATTGGTCGAGGGGCAGAAGCTGAAGGACTTAAAGGTAAAGAATTACCTTTTTCAAGCTATAGAGCGGAATATCATGGAGACTATACTCGACAGAGACACATCAAAGAGTATTTGGGACTCCATGAAACAGAAATACCAAGGCTCTACCAAGGTGAAGAGGGCACAGTTGCAAGCACTTCGGAGGGACTTTGAGACACTTCACATGAAGGAGGGAGAGACTGTTGATAATTTCTTTGCTTGTACTCTCACTATAGCCAACAAAATGAAGGCTCATGGTGAGACAATGAGCCAAACCATCATCAATGAGAAAGTTTTGAGGTCCATGACTTCAAAATTTGATTATGTGGTTTGCTCTATTGAAGAGTCCAATGATTTGGGCACAATGACTATTGACGAGCTGCAGAGTAGTTTGTTGGTCCATGAACAAAGAATGAATGGCCATCGAGGAGAGGAGCAGGCTCTCAAGGTTACTCATGAAGACAACACTAGCAGAGGAAGAGGTCAAGGGACGTTCAGAGGAAGAGGAAGAGGTCGTGGAAGACAACCTTTCAACAAGGCCACTATCGAGTGTTTTAAGTGTCACAAATTAGGACACTTTCAGTATGAGTGTCCCAGTTGGGAGAAGGGAGCCAACTATGCAGAAATAGATGAAGGAGAAGAGCTGCTATTAATGTCCTATGTAGAGCTTAACCATGCTAAGAGAGAAGAGGTCTGGTTTCTCGATTCAGGTTGTAGTAATCATATGAGTGGGAATAAAGAATGGTTCTCGGATTTGGATGTTCAATTCAGGCAAACTGTGAAACTAGGCAACAACTCAAGGATGGCAGTTATGGGGAAAGGAAACGTTCGAATGCAAGTGAATGGAATCACTCAGGTAATTTCTGAGGTCTATTACATTCCTGAGTTGAAAAATAACCTGTTAAGTATGGGGCAGCTTCAAGAAAAAGGTGTGGCAATTCTGATTCAACATGGGGAGTGTAAAGTTTTTCATCCTAGTAAGGGTCTAATCATTCAGTCTGAGATGAGCGCGAACAGGATGTTTGCTGTGCTCGCAGCGATGATGCCTAAAGCTACTACTTGTTTTCAAGCTGTGACAGAAGATGAGAGTTATTTATGGCACTGCAGATTCGGACACTTAAGTTTCAAAGGATTGAGAACCCTTCAATACAAAAAGATGGTCAGTGGCTTGCCTTCTCTTATAAATCCTGCAAAGTTATGCACAGCGTGTTTGGTTGGAAAGCAGCACAGGGAATCCATTCCAAAAGGAAGTCTATGGAGGGCGTCACAAAAGCTGGAGCTGGTACATGCCGATATATGTGGCCCTATAACGCCTGTATCAAACAGCAACAAGAGGTATTTCTTGAGTTTTATCGATGACTTTAGTCGTAAGACTTGGATTTATTTTTTGCATGAAAAATCAGAGGCATTTACCATGTTTAAAGGTTATAAGGCTTGCGTTGAAAAGGAAACAGGTGCCTACCTTAAATGTTTGAGGACTGACAGAGGTGGTGAGTTCACCTCAAATGAGTTTGGGGAATTTTGTAAGGCAAATGGCATAACTAGGCAATTAACCACAACCTATACTCCTCAGCAAAACGGAGTTACTGAGAGAAAGAATAGGACTGTGATGAATTTGGTGCGTTGTATGCTCACTGAGAAGTAGGTTCCAAAGGCTTTCTGGCCAGAAGCTGTGAGATGGTGTGTGCATGTCCTCAATAGGTGCCCTACTTTAGCTGTGCAAGAGAGAACTCCAGAGGAAGCATGGAGTGATATGAAGCCTACAGTGGAGTATTTCAGAGTTTTTGGGTGCTTGGCTCATGTGCACGTACCAGACCAGAAAAGAATCAAGTTGGATGACAAAAGCATTCAGTGCGTTTTATTGGGAGTTAGCGATGAGTCGAAAGCTTATAGATTGTTTGATCCGGTCTCTAAGAAGATAATTGTTAGTAGGGACGTTGTTTTTTAGGAGAACAAGGGCTGGAATTGGGACATGAGCAGGGAAGAAATGGCTTTGGATATGTTAGAGTGGGGTGATAGTGAAGAAGAAAATGATGAAGCTGAGAATGAAGGGGAACTTGGAGCAGAAGTTAACGAGAATGAAGAAGTTGGCTCAAATGGCACAAATGGAGCTGGTTCAAGTGGCACAAGCTCACCTTCCAGCACCGGCTCACCTTCCAGTGAGTCACATGATGGGAATTCCTTGAGTCCAGTTTAAGGGAGGGCAAGACGAGCTCCATTTTGGATGCAAGATTATGAAACCGGAGAGGGTTTGTCAGAAGAAGAAGACTTGAGTGCCATGATAACTCTCACAAAAGCTGATCCCATTACTTTCGAGGAAGCTGTGAAGAGCAAGAAATGGAGAGACGCCATGAATGCAGAGATTGAGGCTATTGAACGTAATAAAACATGGGATCTGACTATTCTACCTGAAGGAGTGAAGACCATTGGAGTTAAATGGGTTTTTAAAACAAAACTCAATGAAAGTGGTGAGATAGAAAAGTGCAAGGCTAGACTTGTGGCAAAGGGATATGCACAACAATATGGGATTGATTACACAGAAGTTTATGCTGCAGTTGCAAGACTAGATACCATACGTTTGATAATTGCCCTAGCAGCTCAACAAGGTTGGAGTATTTTTCAGCTTGATGTGAAGAGCGCATTTCTGCATGGTGAGCTTAGTGAGGAAGTGTTTGTCCAACAACCTCAGGGATATGAGAAGAAGGGCGAGGAACACAAGGTTTATAAGCTGAATAAGGCGCTGTATGGCCTCAAACAAGCTCCACGAGCTTGGTACAGCAAAATTGAAGCCTATTTTGCTAAAGAAGGCTTCGAAAAGTGTTATTGTGAACACACGCTATTCACAAAGTCGAAGGAAGGAGGTAAGCTCTTAATTGTCAGTCTTTATGTTGATGATTTAATCTTTACTGGGAATGACATGAGCATGTGCAAAGAGTTTAAGAAGTCGATGATGTCAGAATTTGACATGTCTGACTTGGGAAAGATGAGATATTTTCTGGGGGTTGAAGTACTACAAAATTCTGATGGGATTTATGTGAGTCAAAGAAAGTATGCTCATGAAGTTTTAGAAAAATTTGGCATGAACAACAGCAACTTGGTGAAGAACCCCATAGTTCCAGGTTGCAAATTATCAAAGGACGAGAAGGGAGCTAAGGTTGATGCAAGTGTCTTTAAGCAGGTGGTTGGCAGTCTTATGTACTTAACTGCAACCAGACCTGATTTGATGTATGGTGTGAGTCTTATCAGCAGGTTCATGTCGTGTCCTACAATACTTAAACCTTATGCTTAAGCCCATTTTGACTTTTCCAAGGGACCAAATATACTGCATAAGCCTTAAAAAACCTAAAAATTACAACACTACTATTAGAGTTTATTTTATTTTATTTTTTTCTTTATGAAAATCATAATGCAAGGGTAATAGTGGTACTTTACATCAGGTCTGTTTTTTTTTTTTTTTTTTTTTTTTTTTTTGTGTGGTGGTTGGTTTCTTCTTCAATTTATAGGTTTTAGTGTTTATATATATAATCAATGCAAGAAATGAGTTATATTATAGATTTATCTATTTTTTTAAATAAAAAATCAAGTTCTTTAAATAAAGTTCAAGAATACAAACTAAGATATCGAAATGATGCTAACAGAGTCTAGCACAGTGAAAAGGACTTGCAGACTAGTGGCTCAAGTTGAACCCCTATGGCACTGTGGTAGTGCGCGCGCGCGTGTGTGTGTGTGTGTGACAAACCTCCCATCTCCCTCTAGTTTAGACTATCGCTTGTACCATCTAAAGAACCAAGCCCAAGAGGACAATAAAACTAACACGCTAAAAACCAAAACTAAAGCGGACAAAAGGTGTACGAACAATTACTAGCCCACATCACTACAATTAAGCCAAATCTCAATGATACCCCACAAAACCCAAGATAACCGAAACACTAAACCAACCCAAGAGTCTCAATCCCACCCACTAGGGCATATAGTCTTTAGGTTAACACAAAACATATGATAAATCTGGAGAAAAATTGGTTTCCAGCAATCTAAGCGCGAATAACAGCGAACAAATATATTAATCATGGAAAAAACCAATTGGGTAGCAAACTCTTCAAATACGAGGTAGAACTAAATTTAGAGAAGATGAGAAGTGTTAGATAAAGGGTTTTGGGAGTAGGATTTGATTGAGTACATAGCCCAATAGAAGTCATGGTGAACTACGATATGAGCATGCCTCAGAAGAAATCACAACAAAAGGCTTCTGATCCAAAATCAAAACGCTTAATGAACTTATTCACTAACCCAAAAGAAAACAGAAGAGGAGATGAGAATTGAGGGGTTGCTCTCCTCCTATATGGAGGCTTTTCTTTGGGACCTTTCCAATTCATAGTCCAGTTAAGTGTCAATGAGTGTCTACTGATTGTGGGTTCGTCGTGCAACGGATCTGTCCTCCTCTCATATGTTTTCCTTACAGACACAAATCTCACGATTTCATTCATATGTGATCATGGAGAGAAGTTGGAAAGACTTGTTGCTTGATTGTGGCTTCACTTCCCCAACTTCAAGGTTCTTTTGTTTGTTGAGAGAGACAATTTCATTTCATCTGATTGCTCAGCTGCAAATCCTCTGTGGTGGCCACAGTTAAGTTAACAAGTCACGACTTTTATATTTTCAGTTACAAGAAGTTCTAGCTTTTGACAATAAAACAAACCTCAGCCTCATCAACCTTCAGTCCATCAAGAGAACCAAAGCTCATGGGTGAAAACACCATAAGGAGTTGTAAGTGCGTCAATAATTATTTTTGCGTACTGAAGACATACTTCATTCACCAAATCAACCAAAGATGATATAAGCAAAGCCTTTAACATCACCATTAGCCTTTAACATCACTGTACTTCCATAAACATAACAAGAAATTTAACCTCTAATCCAAAAATATTTGAAGTATCATCAAACAAAACATTAGCTGGTCACTAAGTTAGAGGCCAATTAAGGTTCTGGTGTCCAACTATATAATATTAGTCAAGGGCGCTCACAGCCCTCTTTAACAAAATGGTGTTTTAGCTCATTGTTAGACTGCACCACCTCTATCAGTGTGGTGTGTGGGTGCTTGTTTCAATCTTCGCAATCTTCGCAACTGTCAGTCGAATAAAAATCTGATCCCAACTCCGCAATATCTTCCTCCAGAAAAAGAGCTTTGGTCTCTCCTAGCAGCTTCAACCCTGCACACCTGTATCAGCAGTTGTGACATCAAAAAGTAAAATACTTGAACAGATACCGGTCATTTCCAAGGAATTTAAAGAAATACTTGAACAAATGTGTTAGGTTAATGTTCTCTTAATGCCTTACTGAGCACCATTTTAAAACAGATATGCAAACAGAATAACAAAACAGAATAAATAGAAGTTGTCAGTTGCTTTGCCCCAGTCCCTCAAAAAAGGTATGACTAATGGAAGGTTTGAAAAAGTGGCTTTTACATAAGGCTATTCCAAAATGAGAAATGCATTTATTGTTTTCCAACATTAGAAATTCAAATAAGCTCTTCATCTACCCAAAAGATAAAACTCAACCATGTACAATCGAAGACTGAATCAAAACATAGACGACAGTTCAAACTGATTGGGAACCAATTCATGAACATGTTGAGTTATTTATGGATCTTTAGATGACAATCGTGCATTAATGTTGGTCCATATATAAAGCCTTCTGAGGTAGAGGCACATTTTAGACAGCAACTCCACACATGAGTTAACTTCCCAATAGCAAAACCAAAAAGAAGCAAACCAACCTCCCAAAAGCATGCTATCAAGAATCTTCTATATTGACATCCTAGAAAAGCATGACTACAACAACCAATTCATATTAAGTCTTAGAAGGTAAAAGAATAATGCAAAAGGTTAAATCTTTACCTTGAATTTATATTCAGTACTTCTACATCCTTCCCCACCAGAATATCCTTCAGTGAAATAAAGCTCGGAACATGACTAAATACCTCAAAATCTGACTTGAACCCACGAAGCTTAAGAAAAATGAATGGCCTGTGGTTTCTTGGGTGATAGTAAAAGAAGGCATTAGTATGAGAATTAAACATCAACAGACACCCATTCTGCAAGTATTTCATGGGTTTGAATGATCCATACGGCCACCTTCCAGCATCTTGGGTATCAATCGAAATATTCTTCCTCCAAAGTTTTTGTGCACCAGAATCATTCAGTGTCCAAAATTTGATTTTAAGACCATCAGTATGACACACACAAATACAATCTCCCAAAACTCCCAAGACCACATTACGACATTCCTCCCGTCCAAAAGGCGGGGATGGAACTGATTGCAACTTTTCAGTATCCAAGTCAAAAGAAATTATGGTAAAACTTGACCACTCATCGTAAAACCAATAAAGCACTCCTTTCACATAGGTGGGGAATGCTAGCTTACTAGCTAAGTAGGGAGCGCTACCAACAGATTTCCATGAACCTGCTCCAAGTGTGTGTATCTCAGCCACCCTATTAGGACGAGGGGTCCCCTGCTTAAACATTCTTATCACCTTATATTCGTTAGTCCTTGGACTGAATCCGAATCCACAATCGATTGAAATCTTTTCATTCTCAGGTTTAGAACCTTCGGGAAGGTTTATAAATTCTCCGGTTATTGGATTGCACACAACAGCAGGGTCATTGGAGAATGGCTCAGACAGGCAAAGCAAGCCGTTACACGAGTTCACCACATTGTACTTGTGATCATTTCGCCTTACCTTGATGCAAGGCTTTCTTGTAGTGACATGTTTCCTATCAATCATCACATTGGCATTACTGTGGTCACTGATTACTTGCTCAGCATTGCGCAATGGGATTTTACATTTGGAAAGAGTCATGTGGAAATCAGATCGCTTACGATAACGGTCATATGCACCAGAGTCCTTCAAAAACGAACCAGAGCTATCTTCAGGCTCAACAAAGTAAAGGGTTCTCGACACGCGTGCTGGACCCAAGGGCCGGACCATAGGAAAGACCTCTGCTTGTGCAAAATGCAGCTGAGCAAATTCAGGGTCCGAAATTAGACCATGCCAATTCTTGCATACACACTTGCACACGAGAATGCTCCTTGTTGGGATCTTTAGTAGAACCAAGTGAATGATAGACTTTGGAAGATCTGTTATAAAAGGACCCATTTCTTGAATGTGGTCAGCCTTGTTCCCTATTTGGGTGGCACAAG